CCTTTGCGCCCTCCCCGACGGCCTCCCCACTGCCCCCCCTTGCTGTCCTCCTGGCGGTCCTCACTTCGCCCCACCCCGCGCCCTTCCGGACTGCCCACGTCGCCCGCGGTGGCATGACTCCTGCCCCCTCGAGCTGGGTGATGGCGGCCCCGCGGCCGTCTTCTCCGCTGAGCACGTAGTCTGTTTTTCGCACCTTGTGGCGGGCGGACTCACTCCCGCGGTGGGGCCGCTTTCGGAGCTGCCGGCGGATGCGCTGCGCAGGTGCGGGGACGAGGACAGGCCCGCGACGCCCTGCGGCAGCCCGAGCGGCGCCCACGGTCCCCTGTCCTCCCCGCGCGCGCGGGACGCTCGCGCTTGGGGCTGTCCCGGGGCCGCCGCGCCCGGGCGGGCATGGTCTCTTCCTGGATCGTCGGCGACTGATGAAGCTCTGAGCGTCGCCGAGCACTGGTGCCAGGCCGCGCCCACTGTTCCAAACGAACTCCCTGCCCTCATTGACTTGCCCGCCCGTCTCCTCGGCCAGTTCGTCGACTCGATCGACGGACTGGCCGAGGAGGATGGTTCCTCTTTCTCTCCTCCGCTGGCTCCTCCTCCGCACTTTCGCCCTGGGAGCGGCACCGCCGCTGGCCTGCCCGAGGCTACCCGTGCGCAGCGTGCTTTGGCTGGCAGGGTCTCGGCGCATCTCAACGGCGATTCCAGCATCGACCGCCTCGTCCGCATGCAGTGGTGGTTCTGAGCTTTTGCGCAGGTCCTTGCGGCGCCCTCCTGTGGCGCCGGCGAAGTCCAGCCGCCTATCCACTTCTCCGCTCCCCAGCTTCGTCAGTTTCTCGATGCCATCAAGTTCGACCACCTGCATGCCGATTCCCCTCCTGCGCCTCTTGAGGGCTAGTCCCTGGTCCTCCCTGGCCCCCTGCCCCCCCGCCCTCGCCGTTCCCACTGCTGCGCCCCAGTAGCTTGCCTGGGGTCGCCCCGGCAGCATAATTATTGAAAGCGAGCAGATCCACAATGGGAGGATGGGCTTTACCGGGTACGTCGCACAAATCGACAAGCTCCTGGTCACCTTTGTCTCCACGGCCTACGACATCGATTCCGAGCTCCGGCAATATTTGAGTTCCCTGGAGTCTACGGCCATTTTGGCCAGGCAGACAGCCAGCCTGTCAATCCTCAGCAACCTGATCAACCAACGTGATCCAAGGCCCTGCCTGCCATGCGCGCTCGCGCTCTCCTCCTCCTGGCCCCGCTCGGCCTGCCGCCCTCTGTCTCTCCTCCCCTCTGGCCCCCCGCCATCCTGCCGCCGCTCTCTGGCCCCCCGCCCTCCGCCTTCCTTTCCTCCTGCCCCGGTTGGGCCCCTCCCCGCGGATGGGTGCCCGGCCGTGCGTTTCTGGCCTGCCTCTCGGCCGCCGCCGGCGGCGCCCTGGCCCCCTCCCTTGGGGGGCTCCTCCTGGCTTTCCCCCTCCCGCTAGGAGTGCTGCGTCCCTGAGCAGCATGACGGACCCCAGCGGCAGCATCGTGAGCAGCACGACGGACTCCAGCAGCACGATCTCGAGCAGCGCAACGGGCTCCAGCAACACCATCGTGAGCAGCAGGACGGACGCCAGTAGCACGATCGAGAACAGCACGGCGGACTTCGGCAACACGACGGTGGGCAGCATGGCCAGGCAGCACCGTCGTGAGCAGCACGACGGATTCCAGCAGCACGACTGTGAACAGCACGACGGGCTCCAACATCACCATGGTGAGCGGCACGGCGGACTCCAGCAGCACGATTGTGCGCAGCATGCCGGACTCCAGCTGCACCATCGTGTGCGGCACGGCTGACGCCAGCAGCGCGACCCAGAGCAGTACGACCTTTCCAGCGGGTATGTGAGCATCGCGACAGATTCCTGCAGCACGACCGTGAGCAGCAGGATGGACTCCAGCAGCGCCATCGTGAGCAGCACGCTGGATTCCAGCAGCGCGTCCATTCAAACAGAGAGACCGTGGGCAGCAGAACGGGCTCCAGCACCAGCGTCGGGAGCTGCATTGCGGACTCCAGCAACACGACCGTGAGCAACGTGCCGAGCTTCAGCAATACAATTGTCAGCAGCATGGCGGGCGCTATCAACATCATCGTGAGCAGCACGACGGACTCCAGCAGCGCCATTGTGAGCATCATGGCGGGCGCCACCAGAACTTTCGTGAACAGCACGGCGGAATCCAGCAGCACGATCGTGAGCAGCATGACGGACCTCAGCAGCACCATCTCGAGCAGCACGAAGGACTCCATTAGCACGATCGTAAGCAGCATGACGGGCTCCTTCAGCACCATCGTGAGCAGACTCCAGCAGCACGACCCCGAGCAGCACAACGGGTGCCATTATAATCATCGTGGGTAGCACGACGGACACCAGCAGCACGATCCTGAGCAGCATGACGGTTTCTAGCAGCACCATCGTGAGCAGCGCGACGGTTTCCAGCAACGCGACCAAGAGTGGCACGACGGACTCCAACAGCACCGTCTGGGGCAACACGACGGACTCCAGCAGCATGGTCGTGAGTTGCAGGATGGACTCCAGCAGCACCATCGTGAGCAGCATGGCGGGCGCCATCAGCACCATCCTGAGCAGCGCGGCGGACTGCGGCAGCACCATCGCGAGCAGCATGACGGACTCCAGCGGCAGCGTCGCGAGCATCACGATGGATTCCATCAGCACGATCGTCAGCTGCGTGATGGACTCCAGCCAAACCATCGGCACGATCGTAAGCAGCGCGACGGGTTCTAGCAGCACCATCGTGATTAGCAGGACGGACCCCAGTAGCGCGATCGCGAGGAGCGCGGCGGACTTCAGCAGCGCGGCGGTGGGCAGCATGACGGGTTCAGGCAGCGCCGTCGTGAGCAGCGCGACGGGCTTCAAAAACGCGACTGGGAACAGCGCGACGGAATCCAACATCGCCATCGTGAGCGGCATGGCGGACTCCAGCAGCACGACCGTGCGCGGCGTGCCGGACTCCAGCTGCGCCATCGTGTGCGGCGCGGCGGACGCCAGCAGCGCGACCCAGAGCAATGTGACCGTTTCCAGCGGGTACGCGAGCATCCCGACAGACTCCATCAGCACGACCGTGATCAGCTGGGCGGACTCCAGCAACGCCATTGTGAGCAGCGCGACAGATTCCAGCAGCGCGTCCGTGAGCAGCATGACGGATTTCAACGGAGAGACCGTGGGCAGCAGAACGGGCTCCAGCACTGGCGTCGGGAGCTTCGCCACGGACTGCATCAACGCGAGCTTGAGCAACATGCCGAACGCCAGCAGCACCATCGACGGGCTCCGGCGGCACCGTTGTGAGCAGCGATGCGGGCGCCATCAGAACCTTCGCAAGCAGCGCGACGGAATCCAGCAGCACGATCGTGAGCAGCATGGCGGACTCCAGCAGCGCCATCGTGAGCAGCGCGACGGGCTCCGTTAGCACGGTCGCGAGCAGTATGACCGGGTTCTAGCAGCGCTACCGTGAGCAGCGCGATGGTTTCCAGGTGCGCAATCGTGGGCAGCATGACGGACTCTTGCAGCGCCATTGCGAGCGGCACGACGGATTTCAGCAGCGCGATCACGAGCAGCATGACGGGCGCCAGTCCAATCATCGTGGGCGACGCGACGGACGCCAGCAGAGCGATCCCGAGCAGCATGACGGCTTCCAGCAGCGCCATCGTCAGCAGCGCGATGGACTCCAGCAGCTCGACCAAGAGTGGTGCGACGGACTCCAACTGCGGCGTCTGGGGCAACGCGACGGACTCCAGCAGCGCGATCGCGAGCTGCAGGGCGGACTCCAGCAGCGCCGCTGTGCAACGTGGCGGGCGCCATCAGCACCATCGCGAGGAGCGCGGCGGTCTGCGGCAGTGCCGTCGCGAGCAGCATGACGGGCTGCAGCGGCAGCGTTTCGAGCGTAACGATGGAGTCTGGAAGCGCGATCGCGTGCGGCGTGGCGGACTCCGGCAGGCGCCGCCGCGAGCGGCGCGACGGACTCGAGAAGCGCCGTCGCGGGCAGCGCGACGGGCCCCTCCAGCTCCATCGCGGGCGGCGCAGCGGACTTCGGCAGCCCGACAGTGGGCAGCGTGGCGGGGTCAGGCAGCGCTGTCGCGATCAGCGCGACGGACTCCAACGGCGTGGCGGCGAACGGCGCGACGGGCTCCAACGGCGCCATCGTCGGCGGCGCGGCGGGCTTGAGCAGCGCGACCGTGCGCGGCGTGCTGGGCTCCACCCGCGCAATCGCGTGCGGCGCGACGGACCCCAGCAGCGCGACCCAGAGTAGTGTGGCCGTTTCCAGCGCGTACGTGAGCATCGCGACAGACTCCAGCATCGTGACCGCGTGCAGCAGGGCGGACTCCAGCACAAGCGTCGCGAGCAGGAGGACGAACCCCAGCAACGCCATCGTGAGCAGCACGACGGATTCCAGCAGCGAGACCGTGAGCAGCATGACGGACTCCACCAGCGGCATCGGGGGCTGCGCGACTGAGTCCAGCAGCATGACCGTGAACAGCAGGACGGACTGCAGCAGCACCATTGTGAGCAGCATTGCGGGCGCCATCAGCACTATCGTGAGCATCGCGACGGTTTCCAGCAGCGCGGCCGTGAGCAGCATTGCGGACTCCAGCTACGGCATCCCGAGGAGTGCGACGGACTCCAGCGTTGCGATCGTGAGCAGCAGGTCGGAGTCTAGCGGCGCGACGGACCCCGGCAGCGTGGTCGTAAGGAACCCGCGGGTCTCCGGCAGCAGCGTCTCAAGCGGTGCGATGGGTGCCATGTGCGAGACCTTGAGCAGCGTGACGGATTCCAGCGGCTGCTGCATCTCGAGCAGCACTGCGGACTTCATCAGCAGGGTCGTGAGCGGCACCGCGGAGTCCAGCGCCAGCGTGTGCCGCATGATGAGCGACAGCAGCGCCATCGTAAGCAGCGCGACGGGCTCCAGCAGCGCGACCAGGAGCAGCGTGGCGGACTCCAGCGGCAGCATCGCGAGCAGCGTGGCGGACCCTAGCAGCACGATCGTGGTTGCGTGACGGACTCCACCGGCATCGCCGCGAGCTGCGCGACGGATTCCAGCGGCGCGACCGTGAACAGCGCGACGGACGCCATCAGCACTATCGCGAGCATCGCGACGGACTCCAGCAGCGCGCGCGGGAGCAGCACGACGGATTCCAGTAGCGAGGCCGTGGGCAGTGCGACGGGATCCAGGAGCGGCATCGGGGTCCTGCGCGACGGGCTCTAGCGACCCGTCCGTGAGCTTCACGACGGATTTCAGCAGCGCGGCCGTGGGCGGCATGGCGGACCCTGGTGGCGGCACGTGGGGCAGCGTGACGTATTCCAGTAGCACGAACGTGAAAAACACCATCATGAGCAGCATGACGGGCGCCAGCAGCGCGATCGGGATCAGATCGACGTGCTCCAGCAGCACGATCTTGAGCAGAATGACGGACTCCAGCGGCAGCATCGCGGGCAGCACGGCGGACTCCGGCAGCGCGCCCGCGAGCAGCGCGACGGATTCCAGCAGCGAGTCCGTGAGCAGCATGGTGGACTCCAGCAGCCGCGTCGGGAGCAGCACGACGGACTCCAACGACGCGATCGTGCGCAGCGCGACCGGATCCAGCAGCAACGAACCTGTCAACCCAACAACCGGACCAACCATCCTGACCCAAGGCCCTGCGCTCGCGCTCCCCTCCTGGCCCTGGCCCCGCTCGGCCTGAAGGAGGCCGCGCGCCTGTGCGCGCAGGCTTGGACTAAGGCGAATGCGGGCGCGGAGGCTGGGATTTGTGAGTGGCTTCGTACTTGTCTTCCATGGGTGCTCCCAAGCTGCGTGCGTGGTTGAAGTCTGACGATGGGGTTGCTGTGCAGTATTTGAAGGGTGTTCACGATTCCAATGGGGTGGTCCAGGCCGCCATTGAGATGCTGAGTATTTGGGGGCAGTTTTGGGGTAGTTGGTGGGCCCCTTGCAGTGGTCGTCGCCTGTTCCTCAGTAGCGCGTTCGGGGAGTTGAGGGCGGCTTCCCAGCTTTTGGTCGAAGTCTGGGGTCGAAGTCCTGGACTTGGGGTCGAAGTCCGGAGCGTTTTACAGGCTCCTGGGGTCGAAGTCCGCGACTTGGTCTGAGCTTGCCACTGCTTCTCTGCGTCTACTGCTGCGGGTGTGGATCAGTGATATCCTCGTGCGTGGCTTACCTTGCCTAGCCATGCGCTTGATGGGGTTGTGCAGATCGTCGCGGCCGTGTCGAGCAGGGGTTCGTCTGTCCTGGTCAGTGCACGTTGAATGCAATGACCATGCTGCCGCAGAGGTCTTCTGATGAAGCGGCTGCGTCTAATTCTTATATTTGTTAGCATGTGTATGTGCGCATGCGTGGCTGTCTTCTCGATGAGTGAAACAATGCCCGTCTGGATTCTGTTGGAATGCAGCTGTGGAAGGGTCTCCAGCGTTGCTGAGTGCGTTGCTCCGAGCGTTTTGTTATAAAGTAGCGGGTCATATTGGGTTCGAATCTCACTGGGGCATTTTTTTGACAGTGTTCTGGTCCCTCTGGCGCAGCTAGCTTCGACCCTGCACTGCCCGCCGCAATTGCTATATCTCGGCCTGCTTGTCCACGCGTGCCCGCGCGTGGTAGAAGTTGGCGGTACTTTGTCGCGTGTGATTGCGACTGGTATTTATAATCTTGCTGGGTTTACTCGGTCTATACTGTGGGTGAAAGCTCTCTTGTCACATTTGCTACACCTTGCGTGCGCGACTTCCGCGTGTTACTGTCTCTTCTGTAGACAACGTCAGTGCACGCTCATGTATGTCATGTCCGTTGCTCCGCAGGCGGTCCTCGCTTTGCTGAGCGACGTCGCTGTGTGTGGTTGTAGAGTATTCGTGGGGATTGCTGTGGTTGCTTCCGCGTCCTCGTTGCTGCGGCAGGCTCTCTGAGTTTGAACGGCTGGGGCTCCTTGTCGAAGATTCGGGGGCGGTCGAGGATCTGGGCGTGATGTCCACTGCTGGCAAGAGGAGATGCATGTTTAGGATTCGTCTCAGGAGGAGAACCGCTTCTAGGAGGGCTGGAAGGTTACAGTGCCTGGCTGAGCTGTGCGTGCGTTCAAGGGAGTTAGTTGTTCGAGCCGGGTGTTCCGAGCGTCGGCGCCTGGAGTCATGGCGTGCTCGGATTGCCCCCTTCGGAAGTCGAGTCCTTCAGTGCGTCTGCGGCAACATGTTCAGGATATTGGTCCTCTGGGCCTTGCGCGTCCACTATCTTGGCTGTTTGTCATCAGTATGCCGACGACCCCGTGTATCGTCTTCGTCGTGAGCAGCTTGGGACTGTGGCTCGTATTTGGAAGTATCTTTCCCTTGGGGTGAGAGATGGTGTAACTCGGACTTAGGCCTCTGTTCGGGTTGAAGTGCGCGCAGTTGACGCGAATCGACGGTGGGCGTTTGTGACAGGCATTATCGCTGCTACTATCGCTTCCTTCTTGGATCTAGGATGGGCGCCTGATTCTCCCGCTAGGTGGGCTACTGCTTCTGGGGCGTTGGACCTGAATGATCTCGGCTTCGAGTTTTCCTGGGGAAGCATGGGAGAGAAACTGTTTCTGTTCAGATCTTGGGCGAGGCTTCGCGGCGCTATTGTGGCGCTGGCTTGGAAGGAGGTGTTCATTCCACAGTGTTTCGGAGTATCCATGATCAGCTCGTATCTGATGGTGCCCATCAGTATGCGGTATTCCTCTGCTGTGTCGTGGTCTGTGGTTGCTGGCCTCAGGCGCGACTCCGATAGGCAGGTTACCTGTCTCCTGGCATTTGTCCGCGGTGCGTGTCGCGGTGCAGGAGATTATGATGCATGGGGTGTGGTTTTGCCTGTGCAGCTGTGACATTGATTCCAGTGATGTGCTGCTGTCCCCACCTCTTGCCTGAAGCTCAGGAGGCTGCTCAAGTTTGTCCTGAGAGTGCTTTTTGGAATCGTGGTCTTCCTGCCTTGGTCGCCGCCGTGCATCAGGTGCATTCGTTGCCTGCGCTTGTCTTGGCTTGGGGCCTTTTGTCTGGAGGGTTGCAGGTGTTTGGCGGAGTGTGGGGCCTTGATGGGTCAGGTGGACAGATTGGAGGCTCCGTCGATGTGGGCGGGCCATGGTTACGCTCGATCCTCAGGGCCGTCCTGGATATTTCAAGTTTGATGGGGTGCTTTGTGGTGCTCTTCCTACTCCGGATCAATCCAGTCCGCGCTCAGTGATGTACACTTTCTTCCAGTTTTTGAAGTTCACCACAGGCGACATTGTGGTCAATTCGGACTACCTCCCCGTGGTGCGGGCGCTCAGGCGGTCCCGAGTTTATATATCCCTAGCTTCCCCTGTGCTCGATCTGGGATCAGATGGATCGACGGTCTAGTCGCGTTGAGCTGATCTGGGCGATGGCTCATGCGACGGCGTCCCTGGGAGGCGCCTGGGGCCTCTTTGAGCAGGTGCACCTTTTTCTTGCGTGTGCAGCCTGTTTTTGCTGGGGTGGCCGCTGCCAAAGGGAAGGTGTTCCCTGAATATATCAGATTGATCGCCGATGTTGATTTGCTAGCCTCCCAAGCTCTGATCGGGTTGCTAGAGGTCAATCGGGAGGTTGGCCTCACCTGCGCCCGCAATAGAGCTGATCGAGGTGGTGGGCCGCCCCCTCGTCCGAGGGCGTTGCCCTCCGACGTTGTCCGACGGCCGCGTTTGCGTGGCGCTGGCCACTCTGTCGCGACATGCAAGGGCTGTTTGCAGTGCGAGGTGTGTCCGCGCAAGTTCCAGGCCAACCGAGGCAGACTATTCGATTTTAGTCCTGGGGGGTGCACGATTAGGCCTTCTATCGGAGATGGTCCAGATGCGGCCATTGCCCACCTTGGGGGCCCCCGTGTGCGTGCCAATCACGCTCTTGATTGCTTCGAGAATTTCTGTTGTTGAACACTATTACTTCTAAAGAATTATTATTGTTGGACCCCCTGGTGCACGCCCCCCGCCCAAAACCTAGGCCGCAGCTACATTTTCATCATTTTTCTGCGAAAGCTTCAGAAAAGTGGATTACCCCCGGATCCGGTTTTTTGTTGACGCTCGTTTTCCCTTGCAAAAAACAATAGAAAATGAAAATTCTTGTTCTTAGTTGATCAAATTTCAAGAATCCCTTGCAAAAAATAAGGTAAAGTGGACATTCGCGCTCGCAAGACGAAATCCTTCCAAAACCTTAGGTTTCGTAACGATTTTAACATAAAAACATCAAAAACCCAATGGTTTTTTAAGAACAAATTGTCAAAATGTCCTTCCGCGCGCTCTTGCGGATTCATAGGAAACACACCACTTTTTAAACATTTCTGTCAAAAGGGTCTTTGCGTGCTACTTCTTCAGGTGCTTTGAACTTCTCCAACAACGGTTGCGCGCCTGCGACAACGGTATGTGACAGATGTGATCAACCTCTGTGGGTGTGTACCCCACGCCAGTGTAGTAGCCAGGGTCGTCCGCACGCCACGAAGTGAAGTGTCCCAACGTCATAGGGCGGGAAGCTGGGTGTGGGTAGTCTCGAAGAGTCGTTTGGATATTTGGTAGAGCTTGAACGGCCCCCCCACGAAGTGGGGGTATTGGCTGGTGTCGCAAGAAAACCCTGGCACTGGGGAGAACACTGAGCGTTCGGGTAAAATGATTGTTGTTGTTGTAGTTGTTGTTGTTGTTGTTGTTGTTGTTGTTGTTGTTGTTGTTGTTGTTGTGTGCAGATCCTGTGGGCGGTGCTGTGTTGATGCGGTTCAGTCCCTTGCTGAGATTTGCCCACCGCGAGGCCGCGCTAAACCGGGTCGTGAGGTTTTGTTGCGGCTGTCGCGAGGTCCATCCGCCTAAGAGCGGCCAGTCCTGTCCGCGTGGGCACTGGCATGATAATGAGGTTGGGTCCCTGTCCGACAGGGAGCGCCACTATTTGCAAAGTCAATGTTTCCCCGGTGAGGGGTGCCCCGGCCCTGCCACCGGGCCCGCCTGTCTGCCGCCGCCGTTTCCAACGCTTCGGCGGCCGCGCCGGCGTCGCGGCCCCGCCGCTGCGGCTTTTGCGGGCTTCCCACCGTCGCTGTCAGGCCTTTTGGCCTCCTTGCTCCTTGCTCGGTGCCCTTCTTTCAGCTCCCGCCAACCCTGGCACCATCTGTAGTTGCGTTCCTTTGCCTTCGCGGGCTTCTCTTCTGCTCCGGCCCGTCGCTCCATTGTTTACTCGTCCCCCGGTAATCCGCGGCCGGATGGCCTTCGGCCCCTCTGTCGCGTACTCTCGTCTTTCGCCCCCGCCGTTCCGGCCCGTCGTTCCACTGTTCTTGGGTCCCCCATTCTCCCAGCCAGATGGCCATTGCCCCCCCACTCGCCCGTGTCTCGTCTCGTCTGGCCCCCTCCGCCTGACTCCCCTGTCATCCATGCCCAGATGGTATGGCTAGCGGCTGCTGCTGGACCCGGCTTGGTCCATGAGGGCTCGGCCGATTTAGACGTGCGCGCGCAGCTACTGTTTCCAGGATTTCTCCACCCTGCCGCTGGCGCGGGGCCGCGACGTCAAATATATATATATATATATATATATATATATATATATGTGTGTGTGTGTGTGTGTTTGTGTGTGTGTGTGTGTTTGTGTGTGCCCAGCGCCCGCCCTGCCGCCGCTGGGATTTGCTTTGAGTGGGCCCGGCTCCCTCTCTCCCCCGCC